TCACATCAATATATAATTATTCTTAATTCCACCTGCAGAATGGAATGTTTATAACTATATATTCTTAGTTAACTAAGATTTCTTAATATGGAAATCTGACCGTGTTTTATCCAGTCATATATAATGCTATTAATACATTTTAATTAATTTAATTTAATTAAATGAAACCAGTATAATTACCAGTTGAGTAGATATTTCATCCGATTGGTAGTCTCTCTGCATGGAGGTGTTGGTGAAAGTCAGTAAATTCTAAGTGTTAGAGTTTTAGGAGTAGAGTGTTAGTCTCAGATGTTGTCCGAGTTGGAGTTCCCAAACTTCCAATTCCTCTCTCCTCTCCTTTGCATATCTTGCATCTGCCTCCCTCGTATTTTTGTATCTTTTCCTGGTGACTATTTTAACGTCATTTTGGCCTATCTAGATAGTGGCTATAACTTACGTATCCTTCAAAGATCAAAGGGGTTCTTAAATTTTGTCCAGACTATGTGTCTGCAAATCTGCTATAATTTCTGATATGACAGATCATGAACTAAGTTTACCCTTTTCCATACAATGGTACCTTATATATATATATAGACAGTTAAATATTAAATTATTTAATCTTCTCTGTCACAATTGTCTGGGTTTAGATTTGATTATATTCCATTAGCATTTTAGACAGTCTATCCAACCCCCTTCCTTATCACTTGTTTGTATATACTATGCATTCCTCAGATCTGGGAAAGTAGTTAGCTTACAGATAGAAATATAGTGTCTTTTTGTTAACTTGAAATAACAAAAATGGAGTCTGGTCTGTTCAGAGTGACTCAGAATATACACTTTTAGTTTCTATCATAGCACAAAATGTCTGCCGATATAAATACTCTGACAATTCGCAAAACTGGCTTGGAAAAGGTAAATTTCTTTCCAAGCCAGTTTTATGAATGTGGAGTCACTAATTGGCTGAGAGCCTCAGTTGACCGTTCTCACTCAATCAGCCGTGTTCCTGTCCAGCGGCACTCCGCACTTACTGAAACTGAACATTTCAGAAGCCAGGTGCCACCTTGGGGTGAGTTGGGATCGGCGCTGGAAGCCACTTCAGGGTTAACATGTTTAAGACTGGTTTAACCCCTGAAGGGAGTGTCTGGGGGCCTTAATTTAGATAAAGTTATAATAGTGCCTTAAGCTGCCTAAGCTGTCCCTTTAGTGAAGTGGATTTAGTGCAATGCCCCTGCAATCGCACTGCTGAATTATCTGTATTTTTTCTCTAGCCATAGGCACATCTGTCCTGTATGTCAGTATGTATATGTGTATGTGTGTATGTATGCCAGTATGTGTGTGTGTGTCAGTATGTATGTCTGTGTGTATGCCAGTATGTCATTATGTATTTATGTGTATGTATGTCTGTGTGTCAGTATGTATGTATATGTGTGTGTGTGTGTCAGTATGTGTGTATGTCAGTATGTATATGTCTGTATGTCAGTATGTATGTTTGTGTGTGTGTGTGTGTGTGTGTGTGTCTGTATCTCCTTATGTATGTATGTGTGTCTGTATATTTTTGTGTCAGTATGCCTGTATGTGTGTGTCTGTTTCAGTATTTGTGTCTGTTAGTATGTGTGTATCTTTCTATGTGTGTGTCTGTGTATTCCTGTGGGCGGGATTTGTAGGCGGGCCCTGGGGGCAGGCTTGGAGGCTGGCCCCCGGGGGCCAAGACCTTGAGCTGTGTTAGGGGCCCCAAAAATTCTGATGGCGGCCTTGGGCAATACTGGTGCAGGGCCCATGACAACTGTGACAGTTGTCACTTCCTGAAGGAACAAAGGAAACGTTCTTTCATTTTTCCTGTGGTGGCAAGGAAATATATGTTGCAAAATAAGATCTTACTGGTCCTTCAAATCTTGCAATATTTCTTTCCAAACTGTACCATGTCTACTATATGGCTTGGAAGTGAACATAAGTAGACCTGGTTAGTAGCACAGGACTTGAAGTCCTGCTATTACTATGTAGCCAACATCTTTCATAAGACCAACTGCTGTCTGGGGCCTGTCTGAACTAGCTGTGTGGCCAGCACAGTGGTAAATGACGAGGGCTCTGGTGGTTCCCCAAAGTGTATTACATCAACTTGTGGAGAATGTCTGAGGTTGTGCTGTCTGGGACTTTGGAGGGGAACCTGAGACCTGTTAATGCTTACCTGCATAATTCGCTCCCGATGAATTTGGAGGTCCATATGAATATGCTGAAGTGTATGCCGCTGGAGGATCATGCTCCTGATCATCACTATACCCACTATGTACCTGGGGGACTGTCTGGCCTTCTTTAATGCATGTTCCGATGTGTGGTCCTGCATAGATGTTTTTTTTCCCTCTCTTTTTAATTTTATTTTTTATGTTTTGAAAGCAGGTCTATTTTTAGTTTGGTTGTTTTTTGCAGGGTTTTATACCCAACCCTCCCAAGGTCTGGCACCCCTTGCCCAGGAGGGAGATGGGACGGAGATATCGCACAGGCTATCCATTTATTTGCTTATTTTGTTACTGTTTTTTTTTTCCTCATGACCTTAGAGATAAATTTACAGTTGTGTTTAAAATTATTCAACCCCCATTGAAAATCAGGTTTATTGTGAAAATTTACAGACTTTTAGCTATTTGCAATGAACAAATCAACAAAAGCCATTGAAATAGATCAACACAATGAATGCTTCAAGTGTCTTCCCCAAATTCAACTTAAATTGTATCTTAGAATCACGTCTCCAGTCTCAAAACTATCCAACTCCTTCATGGCAAGCATCTTTATTACTTAGTAGAGCACCCTTTTGCTGTTATGACCTGTTGCAAACTAGATGTATAGCCAAACACCAGCTTCTGGCAGCGTTCCTGAGAAACCTTAGTCCATTGGTCATGGGTTATGGCCTCTAGTTCACTAATATTCTTGGGTTTATGTGCTGTAACCGCCTTTTTAAAATCCCACCAGAGATTTTCTATGGGGTTCAAGTCAGTTTACTGTGATGGCCACTGTAGAATTTTCCAGGACCTCTTCTGCAACTAAGCCTTGGTGGAATTTGAGGTGTGCTTGGGATCATTTTCTTGTTGAAAGGGTCAATGATGCCCAAGTTTCAGCTTCCTCATAGACGGCATGACATTTTCTCCTAGGATTTCCTGATATTTCAATTAATCCATCTTGCATTCCACACGCTGCAGGTTACCAGTGCCAGCAGGATGAAAAGCAGTCCCCAGAGCATCACTGAGCAACCACCATGCTTAACTGTAGGCAGAGTGTTCTTTTCAGCGTATGCTTCATTCTTCATCCATTGGGACGAAAAGTTACAGTTTTGTTTCATCGCTCCACAGAACAGAATTCCAAATCTTCTGTTACTTATTTATATTATTTTGAGCATATTGGAGATTACTTTTCTTGTGCTTTTGGATCAGTAGCGGTGTACATCTTGGAGTTCTGGCATGAAAACCTTCTCTGTTTAGTACGTGCCTTACTCTGCTCACTGAAACCTCAGTGCCTGTTGCCACGAAGTCTTGATGCAGGTTGTTTGCAGTCCCTCAAGGGTTTTTCACAACCTGCCTTCTCAGAAATCTGGTTGCAGCCATTGACAGCTTTCTTTTTCTGCCCTGTCCAGGTCGTGTAACCAGTGGTGTATTTTCGATTTGTGCTGCCCTAAGCATGACAGAACTCAGCACCCCCTAATTTAAATTTGTCCCACCCATTCCTGCCGAGGTCACACCTCTTCTTGTTAAAGACTAACACACATTTTGACTGACAGACACACACTGACACACCCACTCATGGACAAGGACACACTCTCAGATACACTGACATACACACACACTCACTGATTTGACACAATCACTCAGACACACACTGACATACACTCACTGACAGATGCGCACAATCACTCAGACACGCACACCCACACCTTCATTCACTGACACACACTCACACACAATTACAGATATACACACACACATTCACTGACAGACAGAAACAAACTCACTGACAGACACACACACTCTCCCCCATCATTTACAGATTATTGTTTTTTTTGTTTTGTTTTATTTAAATCCACCCAGCCTCCCTACTTTAGAGAAAGTTGGGTGGATAATTACATGGGGTCCAGTGGAGCTGCTGGGCAAGCAAGTGGGTGGGTGCACATAGTAGGCAGAGATGATCTTCTTGCTCAGCTCCCTCACACACCGCATAGTGATGTCGGGAGCTGGAGTGATGTCATATTCCAGCTTCTAGCATCACTGCATGTTTCACAACTGGCTGCCCTCCCAGGGGCCCAAAGATGGCTAGCCGGCCAGCTCTTGTGCCCCCCATTAAAAACGAGGCTAACAAGGCATATTCCTGGGCATTTGGGGGGAGGGGCGTTCTTTGCTGCCCCTTTGAAAGTGCCGCCCAAAGCAAGTGCCTTGTTAGCCTTGCAGTAAATACATTGCTGAGTGTAACCTCTGTTCCTTCAACTTTTAACTTGCGAACTGTGCTTCCAACGGTGTCTCTCAGTGCCTTCACTATCTTTTTGTATCCTGTTCCTTGTTTGTGAAGCACGTTGATCTCTTCACTTAACTTTGTGAACCATTCTTTTGACTTAGCCTTATTTCTAACATGCAGTCAAATGTGACACTTGACAAACCCTTGGCCAGTTCAGGTATTACATGTGTTCCAGCTCAAGCACAACTGGTGCAACTAAAGAAGCCCTTGATTAGTTGCATCGGGTGTGCTTGAGACAACGCCTCTTTTACATATGTGTGCTGTTGTGAGGGATTCTATTCAGGAGGTTGAATCATTTTGAGCCTGGAGAAGTCATGAAACCAATTGAAGCATTTGTTGTGTTGAGCTATTTCAATTGCTTTTGTTTTATTTGTTTATTACAAACAACTGAAAGTCTGTACATTTTGACAATAAACCTGATTTTCAATGGGGGTTGTCAATTTAAAAAAAAATGTTTTAATGCTTTTTACATTCTTTATTTTTGGAGCAGATTGTCAGATACATGTTGAAGCAATGACATATGACAGGTTGCATGAGTAAAAAGAATAACATATCAGTATAAATGATTTTGCTTTCTTTTTCTTTTTTTCATAAAGAAATATACAGGCTTAACAGAAAAGAACAACATAAAGGGTTCCCTGGGAGGCACCAATCTTTTTGCACAGAGTAAGGTGTAGAGGGGTGATTATTGTACAAGCAGAGGAGAAACCAGAGAGAATGACATAAAGTAATAGTAGATGAATGCACATGTAACGAATAGTGTAGCCAGTATCCCATTCAAAACTCAATGGTAAAGGGGTGTTATGAAGGACCACAAGCTCTTCCGTGTGCAGGCTGGATCTCTGCAGTTAGCCTATGCCAACTGGTTGTTTAGCAGAGTCTCGCTCCGGTGAGTGGAGAGACAGGCTTCCGAGCTTCGGTGTGTGCTGGATGTCTGCACTATATGCAGGGCCGGACTGGCCCACCGGGATACCGGGAAAATTCCCGGTGGGCCACGGCACCTGGGGCCGGTCTGACAGCCCTGATCAGCCCTGTCAGTCTCCCGGCACAATTTACCTTAATTTCGGCCGCATGCCCCGCCTCCGCACACAAGCCCCGCCTCCTTAACATAGCTCCGCCTCCCCGCGCAAGCCCCGCCCCCCACACGTTGCTCGCCGGAAGGAAGAGGCTACAAAAGGGAAACTTCACCTACCAGGTAAGCTTCAGCCAGGACAGTGATTGTGTGTCTGTGTGTCTGTGTCTGCTAGTGAGTGAGCTTGTCTGTGTGTGTGTGTGAGCTTGTCTGTGTGTGTCTGTCTGCTAGTGAGTGAGCTTGTCTGTGTGTCTGTGTGTGTGAGTGAGCTTGTCTGTGTGTGTGTCTGCTAGTGAGTGAGCTTGTCTGTGTGTCTGTGTGTGTGAGTGAGCTTGTCTGTGTGTGTGTGTCTGCTAGTGAGTGAGCTTGTCTGTGTGTCTGTGTGTGAGTGAGCTTGTCTGTGTGTGTGTCTGCTAGTGAGTGAGCTTGTCTGTGTGTCTGTGTGTCTGAGTGAGCTTGTCTGTGTGTGTGTGTCTGTGAGTGAGCTTGTCTGTGTGTGTGTGTCTGCTAGTGAGTGAGCTTGTCTGTGTGTCTGTGTGTGTGTGTCTGCCAGTGAGTAAGCTTGTCTGTGTCTGTGTGCCTGCTAGTGAGTAAGCTTGTCTGTGTGTCTGTGTGTGTGTGTCTGCCAGTGAGTGAGCTTGTCTGTCTGTGTGTGTGTCTGTTTCTCTGTGCCTGCTAGTGAGTGAGCTTGTCTGTGTGTCTGTGTGTGTGTGTCTGCCAGTGAGTGAGCTTGTCTGTGTGTGTGTCTGCTAGTGAGTGAGCTTGTCTGTGTGTGTGTGTGTGTTTCTGCTAGCGAGTGAGCTTGTCTGTGTGTGTGTGCGCACCTGCTAGTGAGTAAGCTTGTCTCTGTGTGTGTGTGTGTGTATGCCTGCTAGTGAGTGAGCTTGTCTGTGTGCAGGGCTGGGGCAAGGATTTTTGCCGTCCTAAGCAAAGATCCATTTTGCCGCCCCTTCCTGTCACTCACTGACAGATACACACATGCTGTCACACATACACTCACTTATTGACACACACAGAAGCTCACCAGCAGACACTCAATCACTGACAGACACACACACATACACACTCACTCACTGACACACACTCACTCAATGACAGACAAACACACAGACACTTACTGAGACATACACACACTCACTGACATTCACTCACTGACATACACACTCACACAGACACTCACTGACAGACATACACTCCACTCAGTCACTGACACACACTCACTGACAGATATACACTCACTCACTTACACACACACACACTCAGTGACAGACATACACTCACTCACTGACACACACAGGCAGACAATCAGTGACATACACGCACACTCACTGACAAACACTTAAACGCTCACCTCCCTAGGATCCAGTGTGGGGCAGCTCCTCACTCCTCCCGCCCGCCGTTTAGTATGCTGGGGCCGGAATGATGTCATATTCCGGCTCACAGCATCACAGAGGGCGCATGAGGGAGGAGTGAGAGGCTGCAAGAACAGCCTCCCTCGCCGCCTTCTCCTTCCCCCCTCTCCTCTGGTCAGCGGAATTTGATGGCAGAGCAGGCACCTGTCATCAAGGTAAGAAGGTGCCTGCTCTGCCATACTGTGACAGGGCTCTTCTGGGCGCCCCCACCTTCGGGTTCCTGGAGGAGCGACCCGGTGCTGAGGGGGGGGCGGCTCTAGAGCCGCACGCCCAGCGCTGCAGGCCCAAAACAGGGTGAGCCCACTAGGAAATTCCTGGTGGGCGCCCCCAGCAGGCCGGCGCCCTAGGCGAATGCCTACTTCACCTAACGGTGGCACCAGCCCTGTCTGTGTGTGTGTGCCGGCTAGTGAGTGAGCTTGTCTGTGTGTGTGTGTGTCTGCTAGTGAGAGAGCTTGTGTGTGTGTGTGCCTGCTAGTGAGAGAGCTTGTGTCTGTGTGTGTGTGTGTGTGCCTGCTAGTGAGTGAGCTTGTGTGTGTGTGTGTGTGTCTGCTAGTGAGAGAGCTTGTGTGTGTGTGTCTGCTAGTGAGAGAGCTTGTGTGTGTGCCTGCTAGTGAGTGAGCTTGTCTGTGTGTGTGTGTGTGTGTGTGCCTGCTAGTGAGTGAGCTTGTCTGTGTGTATGTGTCTGCTAGTGAGAGAGCTTGTGTGTGTGCATTCTAGTGAGTGAGCTTGTGTGTGTGTGTGAGAGCTTGTCTGTAGTAAGTATGTACTACATTTGTGTGTGTGTATGCCAATAAGCTTGTCTGTGCATGTCAGTGAGATTGTCAGTCAGTGAGCCTATTTGTGTGCATCTGTATACTTGTGTATTTATGTCAATGAGCTTATATATATCAGTGAGTATGTTTGTCTATGACACTGTGTATCAATGAGCTTGCGTATGTCAGTGAGATTGTCTGTGTCTGCATGTGAGTATGCTTACTGTATAATTAAATGTTTGACTCTGAAAGGAATATTTTATATTAAAAAAAAAACAAATATATATATATTGACCAATAATATGTCTTGTCACCCCAGATGATTGAGTCATATATAAATACATATATTTTACAAATACATATATATATATATATATATATATGTATGTATTTGTAAAATACAAATATCTATCTCATCTGGGGTGGCAAGACAGATAATATATGTATTTATATATGACTCAATCATATATTATCTGTCTTGCCACCCCAGATGATATATATAGATATATATATATAAAAAATATCTGGGGTGGCAAGACATAGCCGTACATATTACATGTGACAATACGTGGCTCAATGACTTATGGGGCTGGCATAGATATTTTTTCTCCAGGGCTGCTTTGTATCCCCAGTCCGGCCCTGACTATATGTCACGATCAGGTGAGTCTCAGTGCTGGGCTGTGTTGGTGCCCGCTTGTGTGCAGCTCTCTGCTGGAGTGTTGTGTGTTTCCCAGTTCGCCGCCATGTTGGGGCTTTTTGCGCTGTTGGAACTAGGGTCTGCCGTTTCAAGGTAGGATTCTGCTCTTGTGGTGAGTAGGCACTCTGTTGTTTGGGTAAAGGTTGCTGCATCCTGAGCTCCAGTTTGCGCCAGAATTTAGTGAATGTTCTGTCCAGTCTGCACATGAAATCTTGCTTGTCCCTTGTGTTGTCGGGAACCACGCGGCGTACACCATCTTAGAGGTGTCGGAAAATGTAGCTTCAGCCAACGTGGTTTTGCTCATTGTTCCTTTTTTAGCAAGACAGCCTCCCAGAGGTGGACCGGGATCGAGGGGGGGGGGATTACAGGGCACCGGTATAGTGCTGAATGCCGTTCTGCAACTGCAGGCCTCACCCACCCGGTGCGCTCTAGGCTGCATGATCCAGGTTGTGTAACAGATGAGCTTTTGTTGAGTTTTTGACCCCTGCAGGGATTGTCAGCTTGGGCAAGGAGCATGTAAGTTGCAGGATGTCAGCCAAATCTAGCTTATTAAGGCTAAAATCAGCTTTTTTGTCAGTAGAGGAGAGGAGCTCTATCAAAACAGGCCTCGCCCCCCGTGTTGAATCATTTTGATTACAACTATACCACAACAGTCAACTAGCATTCTGTTTTTTGGGGGCTGAAAAATTGTGCTAACATGTATAGAATCGAAACATATGTACTTCCAGTAGACCTTTTATTTATTTTTTTGTAACTTTCTTTTTATTATTCAAAATAAAACATTTTCAGTTAGGCATTGTTAGGACTTGCAGGTCCCTAAACGATTGGCATCACAGTGGGATACCTAGATCCTTGCATTTTCTTTTCAGGATGTATGCACAAATTTTCTCTGTGTAGTTAATAGTACATATCATCTCCCTCACTAATCCTTTGAACCAGGGAAAATAGACCAACACTAAATTTTTTAAGCTTTCAGCACTAGACTATTGTGCCAGGAAACATATCCTAACACTACACATTTTATGTTTGAACATGTAGCTACCTTGAATGCTAATTGGTTTAGTGCTAGATTGTTAGATTTTTTTTTCAGGACTTATGTACAAACTGTTACCGCGCTTTTTTCGTGTGCTGATTGCACTTTATTGTGTACCTCTTACTTGCCATTTCATCACAATAAAACCTTATTAAATACATCTAATTTGCCCTATTTTACATTGTTTTAGTGTACAGAGTACATACTTTCCCTATAGAATGTTTGATTTCTACGATTAGATGTTAGGAGCCTCGTTTTATTAAGGTTGTTATGAAGATTACCCTGCAAGGTAATTATTGCAAATTATCACAAAATGAAATAATTACAATTGCTGGGTTAAGGGGACAGGGACACTGCACCCACAACACTTCAATGCGAGAAAGTGGTCTGGGTGCCTCTAGGGTCCCTTTAAGACCTTCAATTATCAGAGGTCTTTTTGTTCAGCAGCACCGCAAATACAGAATACACATAAGCATATTAAACCTCTACACATACAGGGTCCGTACACCACAACCACTTCAAAACACCGAATTAGTCATGATTCTTAAAGTAGAGCTTTACATACAATCTATCTTTCTCCTCAGTTTATTGTTTTCTATAACAGACTATAAAAAAAAGCAAAAAAAGACTCATTATAATATTGTATTTAGGGATTTTGGTCTGCTTGTTTGACTGCTATAGCAGATAGAACATATCTGACTTACACTAAACATTCACTAATATAGCAGAGATGCAGTGCAGCAATGTTGGCCTATAATTTGAATTCCTGTACATTCACACTTTATTGAACAACCCTTTGAGTATTACACAAGCAGACGAGGTTAGCATGGACTTTGTAGAGATGTGAATGGAGGTTTTGAAACATGGTTTTATATCATTTTATCTCACTATTGACTAATTGACTAGGTTTTGTTTCTTTCTTGTTTTTTCTATGTACGAATAGGAAGTGGTTGACACATGTTTTAACTGGTTGTAAGGGCTCTTAATGGATAACAGTAAGTGACTTTCTCCCAAAGGCGACTTTTACAGAGTTAATTCCCTTCCATGCTATTAATACTCACATAGTTATGGACAGAATAATTCCATCAGATAACATATTTTTCCATTCACTGACATTTAAATGTAGAGGACACAGCAGTTGTCCACTTGCGTTTCGTAACATTACCAAGTTCTGCTGGGAGCATGGCTGCTGTAATGTCTCCCTGACATTTCCCTGTCACCACAATTCTTTCTTTTATACACTCAACTAAAAGTACTATAAATTGTACTTCAAAATTACTAATTATACAAAGTGTACACACACATAATTATCTATAGAAAACGGTCTACGTGACAAAATGCGAAATTATAGCTCTTGAAATAGAAACTATGCGAACATTATATAAGACAGCTGCAACCACTAAGGCCAGTCTCTCCTTAAAACAGCGCAATAAAAAGAAAGTATAAAAATAGTGTGCTGGTTTTAATGAGAATATAGTAAAACACAATACTATATAAAAACGCTTCTATATTGCTTCTAGAATATCCAGTGATTAACACGTCAAATTAAATTATACAGTTACACAGTTAAACGTCAAAACATAAATAAAGGAAAGGTTTAATGCTGTGTGCACACATTGCAAATTGCCCAATCAGTGCTATAAACAAGTCATATAATAAGCAGTTTTTATATTACCTCAATATATTTTTTAATATTCCTCTCCATCTTTTTAAGGTTCTTTGTCCTGCTTCCCCAGCTAGAGTCAACAATCTCCCCTCTTCAGGAAAAGGCCCCCTTTCTTCCCAGCTATAATAGCCTTTAAACACTACAGAGGTTTGTGTCGTGAGAGACATAGATCAAGAGATGTAGATCTTTCATTCCCTTACAATACACGAAAAAGGATGGAGGGACATACATTTCCCCGTAAAGGGACACTATAGTCATGAGAATAACTATAACTTAATGTAATGGTTCTGGTATGTATAGCCAGTCCATGCAGAGAACAGGTAGTGTTTACATTGCAGCCTAGTAACGCCCCTAGTGGCAGTCACTCAGATGGACAATAAAGGTGACTCCTAGTTCAGTGCTGTACCGTGTGCAGCATGGATGTACAGAATCACCACACTCTGCATGAAGACCCTGAACGTTCCCCATAAATCAATACATCTTTATGAGGAGATGCTGATTGGCACAGCACAGAGTTTTGCTGCACATGCGCAGGAGCCTTAAAAGCATTCGACTGGCTGAGATCATCAAGTTTGATGATCTCAGCAATGGAGGTAGGGCCTGCTGCAGCGAGAACGGTGCGGGACAAAATACCTTTTCACTCCACAGAGAAGAGGGCTAGGGACCTAAACTGCCACCCCAGCCAGGGACGTATTAGCCGCGAGGCAAACAAGGCATTTGCCTTGGGCGGCATTTTCCTGGGGGCGGCAAAAAAAGCCGCCCCCAAATGCCCAGGGCAAATGTCTTGTTAGCCTTGCGGTTAACTGACAAGCCAGGCAGACGTCACATTCCGGCTCCCGGCATCACTCTGCGGCGCGCTAGGGAGCTGAGCAGAGAGCTCAGGGGAAAGTGCTTCTTTGCCAGCGCCGCCCAACTGACCGAACGCCCAGCAGCCCCACTAGACATCCAGGGAGATGGAGAAACCCCCCCAGCATTCCTAAAGGTAAGGAGGCTACGGCAGCACAAAACCAGGATTCACCACTGACCCCAGCACTATAGTGTCAGGAATATATGTCTGCATTCCTGACACTATATTGTTTCTGTGGAGCCTGATGCAGATTCCAATGACAGGGATTTTACGGTTATGCACCAGTACTTCAGACAAATACTGTTAGCACTAGGTAATATTTTGTCCTGCTTAGAGGGTGTCCTAAGCCCAAGAAAACAAATTGGCAGGCATTGATAAAGTATTGGATATGCACATTCCAAAGTAAAGTAGTAGTGGGCATATTATTATTATTGCCATTTATATAGCGCCAACAGATTCCGTAGCACTTTACAATATTATGAGAGGGGGGATGTAACTATAAATAGGACAATTACAAAAAACTTACGGGAACAATAGGTTGAAGAGGACCCTGCTCAATCGAGCTTACATTCTATAGCATATAGCAAGCAAACCCGCATTTTACAGTCAGTGACTAGTCGCAGTTTGTACACATGCCAGGAGCTCAAATCTAGATAAAGTCCCTGCTACTAGATATGAAAAATAGTGGCTTAATGAAATGACCTGTATTAACATTTGCATGAATTTGCAATGCTACATATAATTACTCTAGGCTGCAACTTGAGATTGACCTAATAACCTTTAACAGCAATGGTGCAACTAAAACTCCCATGATGCTCATCCATTATCCCAAAAAGGAAATGTGCGAGTTTGTCAATGAGTGGAGAACTACATATTAGAAGTCTAAATATAATGCCTCGTGCATGCCTTCTCATGGAATTATAATATAGATGAATAAAAAAACTCTACACTTTTTATGGGAAGTAAAAGAATATGAAGTGCATTAATGGTGCGGCGGATTACATTTAGTATTTTTTATTATTTTTTTGCAAAAAACATACATCTAGCATTATTCAAAACAGAACGATAAAACAATTATGTTTTTTAAAATTATCATACTTCACCCCTTTAAAAAAATAAAATTAATTTAAAAAAAAAAAAAAACATTTTTATACTATATATTTTACACTGAGTCCCACGGGAGCATGGAGTACATTGCTTGCCCTATCCCAGTGTAAGGGCTAAAAGTTGTTTTTTGATTTTTAATGCATCCTTGCAGAGAGGGAGATTGAATTCTCTAGGCCTGCTTAAAAGCTGCTGAGGTTATGTATTTTCTTCGTATTTTGTCTTCCCACAAGGATTAATAACATGATAAAAACAGGGTCACATCTGACCTACTTACCCGGAATTCACAATCGCTGCGTTCTAGAATCACGTGGCATTTTGTACCACAGTATGTGTTCTCTGACCTATAACAGAGCTGCTACTAAATGTCTTGTTCTGATCCGATCACAGCTGGATGAGAGGAGTGTACATTACGCAAAGAACATTGTCAACTGCAGCCTTAACCACCTAAGGACCAAGGCTATTTTTGAGATGCAATGTATTTGCGACCAAGGCCTTTTTTTTTTGGCAATTTTACCATACATTTATTCTATCACAATTCCCCCCTTTCTGTTTAAGTGCACCATACATATTATATATAATTTTTTAAAGAAGAAACAGGCTTTCTTTTGATGCCCAATTTACACAACACAGTACTACATAGGAATAAAATATAAAACAAATTGTTTCTCAGTTTTACATTTAATAATTTCTACACACCAAGGGCAAATAAAGAAAACTAATCACAATAGATTCACTGATTAGCCCTGACTGTTAAAATGCCCAATATGTCTAGGATTTCAATTCATTTTTAGAAGTTATAAACAAATAATGCACAAAGTGAATTACAGTTTTAAAGCTAAAATTTAGCTAAATTTGTCATGCAGAGATTTCAACTTTAATAGTAGTCACAGACAGGGGCGGACTGAGAACCCTCAGGGCCCCCGGGCAAAATAAATCAAGGGCCCCCTTACAGGCCCCACCCATACTCTGCAGCAAGCGCCACCCTTGTCCCGCCTCCATGCACCGCCTCCATGCACCGCCTCCAGCCACACCCTACACAATCTTTAGACACAAGGAACAAAAGTGCAATAATCCCTTCGAGGCCCCAGTAGAGACTACAATTGAGGGCTAATGGACCATGGAGGGGGGTCTTTCTATCAGAGGCTATCTCAGTGTCCTTTAGAGAGGGTGTTAGAAAGAATCCCCTCCAAGCCCCATTAGAGACTACAATGGAGTCTAATAGGCTTGGAAGGGGGTCTTTCTAACAGAGGCCATCTCAGCGTCCATTAGATAGCCCCTGCTAGAAACAGTCGCCTCCAGGCCCCAGTAGAAACTACAATTGAGGGCTAATGGGCCATGGAGGGGATTTCTAGCAGAGGCTATCTCAGTGTCCTTTAGAGAGTGTGTTAGAAAGAATCTCCTCCAGGACCCATTAGAGACTACACTCTGGTTCCTATTCACAATATAGTAACACAACATAGCTCGCTGATACCTAGGCCAAGTTGGCTCCTCTTACCT